TCAATCTATCCCTCTCCCTCTCCCTCTCCCCTCTCCCTCCCTTCCTCTCTCTATCCCACTCTCTGACGCAGAGCTCACTCAACGACCCCAGAAGCGGTGCAGTGCCTTGGCATTGGGTTGGAGATGGGAAGGTCGGTGCTCAGCTCCCGCCGTTGGGACCTTCTTCCACCCGGGCAGGGCGTCTACCAACGTCTAGCAAGGTGCTGACGCTCACGACCTTGCTGCAAACTGTCGACGGAGGACCGGACAATGCGATCAACTAATAACCAGGCAATTTGATAGGAGTTCGCAGCGTACCGCCACTGCCGTCTGTTACGCGTGGTCGGCTGGAGTGCGTGTGTGACGGTGTGTGGCGCCCCGGCCGGCAGCTGTACGGCGGCGGCGCCGGCAGCCGGCTGCTCAGCTCGTTCTCGCGCCTCTTCACCTGCTGCCTGCACGTGTTCGGCTTTACCCTCGGCGTGCATGACATCATGGTGACGTCAGAGGCCGACCAGGAACGACGCCGCATCATCCAGCAGACGGCTGAGGTCAGTCAGCGCGTCAGCACGATCAAGGTCGGCGTCACAGGTCGGTCAGCGAGATCAGCAGGGGTTAGTCAGAGGGTCAGCGAGGTCAGCATAGGTCGGTCAGCGAGGTCAGCATAGGTTAGTAAGAGGGGTCAGCGAGGTCAGCTCAGGTCGGTCAAGGGTCGGCGAGGTCAGCACAGGTCGGTCAGAGGGGTTAGTGTAGGTGGGCGGTGCTCGGTCTGCGGACGGAGTGGAGGCCATCCCGCCGGGTCATACGGGTCTGCGGAGGTCAGAGGCCGGGGTGGCTAAGTCGGCACTGTGCTTCAGTGCCCATAGGTTTGTTGTCTTTCAAGGTGGCCTGCTGAAGTTGTGTTCTATATAAAATGGGCCGTGCAGGAGGGAAAAGGTGCAGGGAGTCTGCCTCGTAGACAGAGATGTGAGCACTCAAGAGATTTAATAATTCGTACTATTTTCCCTGCTCTGATCGAAGTCCAAATAAACGGCACTACGAATTGTGAATTTATCGCACACTAAGTGACGAAACAATTGCAGATTGATGAGTTTCACTTGTCTATCATTTTGCTGTTTAGTAGAATGTTGCTTAGGTGTGTACATTAATGGCCACAGGAGTTATGAGCCATCGTTCGGACCCAGTGTTTTATGTGTATAAGTCTTCAAATATATTCAAGCATAAGTCTTCGAATTCGACGGCTACGGCCGCCGAAGTTCAGCGGCTTTAGCCGTCCGCGTGTCAGCACGACACGGCTTCTGACCGCGCGCCGCCGCTCTGGCCGGCAGGTGGGGCCCGAGGCGACAGCCGACGCACTCGGCCTGGTCTCCAAGGAAGAGCGGGCGGACGAGCGGGCCGTGCAGCGTCGTCTCGAGCAGGCGCACCTCTCCGGCAACGTGCGCGCCCAGCGTGACCTTGACCGTGCCTACAAGAAGCGCCTGGACACTGTCAATAACGCCATCAACAGGTGAGGCAGCCGGGCGGGGACGTCCGGTCGGCGACAGTCTGGATGTCTGCCTGCGAAGCGGTCGGGAGGGGGGGGGGGGGGGCGTCCGGCTGACGGGAGTCTGGATGACTGCCTGTGAAGTGGTCGGGAGGGATCGTCGGGCCGGCGGGAGTCTGGATGTCTGCCTGCGAAGCGGTCGGGAGGGGGGGGGGGCGTCCGGCTGACGGGAGTCTGGATGAATGCCTGTGAAGCGGTCGGGAGGGGTCGTCGGGCCGGTGGGAGTCTGGATGTGTGCCTGTAGTTGCGGTCGGGGGAGCGGAGTCGGCGTGTGTGGACGAGGAGGTGGCCGTTGTGACGATGTGGAATGAAGCTGGGATCAGACCGTGACTCCCTCAATGTGGGAGACCTGCGCTGAGTGTCCGCTCGTCCGCAGGGTGTGCCTGCCGCTGGGACTGGTGCAGTCGTTCCCGGACAATAACCTGCAGCTGATGGTGGAGTCCGGAGCGAAGGGCTCTAAGGTCAACACCATGCAGATCAGCTGTCTGCTGGGTCAGGTCAGTACTGTCCGCAGCTGTGTATGGTGGCCAGCTGCTGGTTTTGAGGACAACATATGCGCCTCTGGCGTGAAAGGTTCTGGCATGCCGGTCTGCTGCTCTTGGGTATCATGAGGTATCCTGTGATCATTGTGCGATTGTTCGGTTACGAAAGAGCACCCACCAGCGTTTGCGCGCGATTGCCAGGTGTCAGCAACACGTGCAGAGTGATTTCCGTCGCTCATCGGTGCCGCAGTTCAGCCTGTGTTGTCCGGTGTGGCTGGCTTTCCTTCCACATGAGCATTCGCACGGCTAGGAAATGTCAGAGTCCCGCTTGCTTGGCTTTCCGCGAGCTAAGCGCCTGTGTTGGCCGGCGCATCAGTCTCAGTAACATGGAGCGCCCCGCGGGGACCGCCTGTGCGCTGACCAGGCGCCTCCCGTCCGTCGGTGCGCTCATCAATGTCGGTCCGAGCGCGCGCGCCTCACCGCGGCATCCGTCTCGCCCCGCCGCTCGACAGATCGAGCTGGAGGGCAAGCGGCCGCCGCGGATGCTGTCCGGCAAGACGCTGCCCAGCTTCGCGCCGTACGACCTGACGCCGCGCGCCGGCGGCTTCATCGCCAGCAGGTTCATGACCGGCATCCGGCCGCAGGAGTACTTCTTCCACTGCATGGCCGGCAGGGAGGTGAGCGCCGGCGGCGGCGGCGCCGGGCGGGGAGGTGGCGGCGCCAGGCAGGGAGACGGCGGCGCCAGGTGGGGAGGCGGCGGCGTCAGGCGGGGAGGCGGCGGCGTCAGGCGGGGAGGCGGCGGCGTGAGGCGGGGAGGTGGCGGTGCCAGGCGGGGAGATGACGGCGCCAGGCGGGGAGACGGCGGCGCCAGACAGGGAGGCGGTGCCAGGCGGGGAGGTAGCGGCGTGCTGGGGATCTGTTGGCGGGATGGAGGGCGCAGTCTGGGTCGGACCGCTCTTTTGCGACTGCCCTTTTCCCCCACTGTTGTCATACCGGGCGCTTTTTCATAGCACAATGGTGTCAGTCTGTGTAGAGACGATGGTCAGTGTTCAAATAAGTCAGGTCCAGTCTGCGGGGCACAGCTACACTGCATCAAGCTCCGTTGGTCCTGCCGTCCGACAGGGTCTGATCGACACGGCCGTCAAGACCAGCCGCTCCGGCTACCTGCAGCGATGCCTCATCAAACACCTGGAGGGCCTGGTGGTCAACTACGACTCGACGGTGCGCGACAGCGACGGTAGCGTCATCCAGGTACGCAGCTAGCGGCCGGCGACCCTCCGCGCTCGTGCTCAGTCGGCGGCGGTCAGCGCACAGCCGGCGGGCCAGGCCCGGTCCGGCTCCCGGCCGGCGGGCCAGGCCCAGTTAGGCCCCCAGGTGGCGGTACATGCCCGGTCCGGCTCCCAGCCGAGGGTCCGGGCCCGGTCCAACTCCCAGCCCTCCCGACGGCAGTGCCGCGCTCCCTCCAGCCAGCTGTACCGCCCAGCGGTGTTGTGAGCTTCTAGTCGCCGTTTTTTGTGGAATGAGAGTAGATGTGCTGCTGGTGTGGATTGGCGTGTCCCTACTAGGAGTCGTGGCAAACCTGCTTTGCTGCCGCCTCAGTTTCGGTACGGCGAGGACGGCTGCGAGACGCAGAAGGTGCCGTACTTGGCGGCCAAGCAGCTGCCCTTCTTCGATGACAACCATCGAGGCCTGCTGGATCCACAGCTGGTGAACGACTTCAAACGGGTCTCGAGCATCGACGCCATCCGCAAGCACAAGAAAAAGGTGCCGTCATGTTTTTTTTTCTGTGTGGTGTGCAGTATGCCATTTCAGTTACAGCTTTTGAAAATTGACATGTTCAGAAGGCAAAATGTGTTTTTAATGAATGACTCAGACAAAGGCTCGTTGCTTCACGCGCTTGCTTTTGCTCATTAGTGCTGTTGCGTTTACGCCATCACATCTTTATAGGGGATTGTAACCGCCTGAACGGCCTTGCAGGTGACTGATGAGACTGTTCCAGTTGTGAGATCAGCAGAATCGTCTATCCAGCGGATGTTATATGCCATATGAGTACCGCACTATGGTGCGTTCGAGAGGGCCGGTCATCTTCACGCGCGTGCTCCAGTGTCTGTGATGTCGGCGCGCCCGCCTCAGATCCGGAAGTGGACCCGGGAGTTCGGCGATCCGCGGGAACACCGCCGCTCCAGTCCGTTCCTCGAGTTCAGCCGCATGACGACCGTGGACGGCCAGGGGGAGCTCGACCCCAAGACAGGCCGGCCGCGCAGCTACCACAACTGCCTCAAGCTGTGGAACCAGCTGGACAACGACAAACTGTACGTCCGGGCGCGACTGTAGCGAGGTTTGAGATGTTTGCGCGCCGTTCAAGTCGAACGGCGACGTTGGACATTCGCTTGGGCACTGGATCTTGTGTGAGAGAGCGAGCTTGACCATGTCTTGTGCGAGTTGTCTTCATGTACCTGACGTATACGGTTTGAATGTGAGCGACGTGGTGTGGCTGAACTGGACTCGGCGCGCGCTGATTCTTCTGCGTCTGCATTGTGCGTCAGCGGCCGCGGCAGCAGAACCGGAGCTGCCGTGGCAGGCGACGTCCGTGTCCCGCCTCTCGTCGAATTGCACGCGACCGGCCGCTGCTCCCACTCACAGAGCTTCTCTGTCTCGCTGGCGTCCCGCCAGGTTCCGCACGGCCGCCCGCCGCTGTCCGGACCCGGTGGACTCGGCGTACGCGCCGGACGCGCACTTCTCGTCGGTGTGTGAGCGTCTCGACCGGCTGCTGACCGAGTACCTGGAGTCGCGGCCGGGCGACTCGGACCAGCTGCGTGACCTGCTCTACTTCAAAGTCGCCCGCGCCATGATCCAGCCCGGCGAGGCGGTCGGTCTGATCGCCGGCCAGGTGCGTGTCGGCGGCGCCCCGCTGGCGGCGCGCGGCTGGGCGCTGCCAGTGCCGGGGTGGCGCCGCGGTCGGCCCGGACGCTGCCCGGGGGCAGGCGTGGCTGCGACCCGAGGCCCGGAGGGGTTGTAGTTCTCCGGGGTGAAAGTCGCAGCGATGCAGGTCGGACGGGCCCAGCGTCCGCGAGCTGCTGTTTAGGCTTCAGTTTCTCGTGAGTGTAGGCGTCGTGATATATATAGGCGCCTTGGGCGCTCCGGTTCGGCCTACTGGCTGGGTGTGCCCTTGGAGATCACCACGCTAGCTTGTCGCTGTCTCGATGCTGCTCCGGCCCACCCCGCCCGCCGAGATATCCAGCGATTCGAATCCGGTTTGACTCGCGTGTCCGCCGTTCCAGTCGGTCGGAGAGCCGTCCACACAGATGACCCTCAACACGTTCCACTTCGCCGGCCTGGGTGACATGAACGTCACGCTCGGTGAGTGGGCTGAGCTGGTCCCCCTCGACACCAGGTCATCGCGTTTCCACCCGCGGGCTACGCGCTTGTTGTGCTCTGCGCCGCTTGCTTTGCTCGCTGTGAACTCCGACGAGAACAATGTCGACCGTGCCAGCTGTTAATGACCATTTTCAGGGAGGATGGTTCACGAAGTGGGTGGATTGACTCCCCAGGTGACATGTCGGACCACAGATTGACTCCCCAGATAACACGTCAGATTACTCCTAGATGGCATGTCAGATCATTTTCCAAATCGATTCCCCAGATGGCGTGTCAGATCACTCCCCGCACTGACTCCCCAGAGGCATGTCTTTCTCGGTTCAGGGTCCGTGGTCTTTGTCAAGCAAAGTTGTAAACGTTACTCTAAGCTCATTTGCAAGTTATATCATTGAAGCGTGTAAAGTACCGTAAGTGGAGTGGCGTGTGAGTGGGATTAGCCGTGTAGCTATGCCTTTGGACTATATCGTGAGGTCGGGTTCGATTCTCACCACAGGAAATTTTTACTCTGATGCTCCCACCCTGGTGTGCTTCTGCTGACGTTGAGGATCGTAGCAGTTATGAGTTTATGTGGTGTGAACACTGCCCTACTCTCCGTAGGCATCCCGCGGCTACGTGAGATCCTGGCCGCCTCCCACTCGATGAAGACGCCGAGCATGGAGATACCGTTCCGGCAGGACGTGGCCGGGCTGGAACAGCGCGCGCGCCGCCTCAAGCTGCAGATGACGCGCGTCACGCTGGCCCAGGTCCTGCGTGACGTCACCGTCACCGAGACGTGTCGAGCCGGGTGAGTGTGCCGTTCCGCGTCACCTGTGCTTGTGTGGTCGAGTCGGGCCTCCGCGTGGCCCCTGCCGGTCCGCCGCCGCGCTCGCGGTCTGCCTGGCACACTGGATGCCGTCGCCTGACCCGGCTGGCTGTGTCGGCGGGCGCTGTGAGACATTGGCCTGTACGCCTTCTGTGAGGCGCCCGTTAGCAAGTCCTGTGTAACGCTGCACGACCGCTTTCGCGTTTGCTCAGTCACTAATGGCAATATGGCCGTGTTTTCCGTGGCCTGCGCGGGTCGGCAGGCACACGAGGACGTACGACCTGCGGATGGAGTTCCTGCCGCGCTCCTCCTACAAGGGCGAGTTGGCCGTCACACCGAGCTCGGTGCTGCGGTATGTGGAGGACGTCTGGGTGCTGCGCTTCCTCAAGCTGCTCGCCAAAACCTTCAAGCTCAAGGACATTGGCGGGTGAGTGTCGGCTTCAGCTGATTCTGCTCGCGTGTGGCGCTTGCAGGCGTTCTTGGTATTTGATGTACTGTAATTAGGGCTTCTAGGAGTGATTAACGCGGATGTTCACTCTTCTCAACGCAGGTTGTGCGCGCGCAGAATGTTGTGCGTTCCTGCGACATTGACTCCGTGGCAGTATGCCAGGAGCTGTCCATTCAAAGCGGTCCTGTCGGGCCCTCGCACGGCTCACAGCAGCAGCGCGCTGCGAACATCTACTGCAGATCCCCGCATGGCACAGTCTGCCCTGCCTAACGAACGGAGGACACCGCCGCATCGCCCGGGCGGACGGGCGTGGTGCGTGGTGTGCGGCTCTGACCGGGCTGCCGCGCGTCCGTCCTCGTGGGCCCTTCACTGGGGTGTGCATCTCTCGATACCGGCCGAACGCGGGCGGAGCCCCTCAGCAGCCCGTGCTGAGAGGACTGTCTCGTCCTCAGCGTGCTGGAGGGCAAGGAGGCCCAGGCGTCGCCGGAGGCGGACGAGGAGGATGTGGAGGCAACCGAGGACGACCCGAGCCCGGCTCCGCAGGCCGAGCGGCCGGCCGAGGACGAGGACGACCAAAACTCGGACGGAGAGGCGGTCAGTGTCCACTGTGGATGAGCGGTGGACGTGCTGGGTGGATTTTGTGGCACCCCTCCCCATCCCCTCCCCCTGGCCGGTGGTGGTGTGATCCCGGCAAGTGCCGGTCGGATGCGAAGCAGCGTTTGAGGCAGCGCTTCGTTCTGGCAGTAGTTGCGTGATCATTTTGGACTTGCTTGATTCGAGAGACTATATACCAGTGACAATCATTCGAGTAGTTTCAGCTATTGTCTTGTGATTCAACTATTGCCGTAATGACTGTTTGTTAAGTGCCGGCTGTGGCGGCCAATTTGGCGGCGCGGGTGCCCGCTGACCCGACCCGCGCTCACCCCCTGGCTCAGGAGGCCGACGACGACGCCACAGCGGCCCGCTCCAAAGCGCGCCGCAACGACGAGGCCGACTACGAGGAGGACGACGAGGAGGAGGAGCAGCAGGAGGACCGGCCCGACTCGGACGACACGGACGGGGACGTCGAGGAGGCGGGGCCCGCCAAGGTGGGCCTCCCTGCCCCGGGGCCGAAACGGGGCCCTGTAGAGGCGCCGTCGCCGATGGAGAGATATACACGGGCTGGTCGGTGTCAACGGCGTGCGGGGTGCCGCGGCGGCGGCCGCAGAGCCAGCCTGTGGCGGAGCCGCGCGCGCCAGCGACGCGGCTGGCTCGGCTTGTGCAACTGCACGCTCACCCGGCCGACGTTCAAATGACCTGCGCATCTGCCGTGACCCAGACTCGGTCCGTCCCCGACTCCAGCCACAGTCGTTGCCCTTCCGTCTGTTGTGAGCTGTGGCGGGCTGAGCAGCGGAGCGTCGGTGTCACCGCAGCCGGGCTCGTTCGCAGACGTCCGGTGGGCGGGAGGCGGCGACGCGCCGGGCGGCCGTGCTCACCATGTGCTGGGAGAGCTGCGGCGTCAAGAAGTACGAATTCGACCAGAAGCGCGAGCGCTGGTGCCAGCTCACCGTGGCGGTGAGTGTGACGGCGGCCGGCTGGCGAGCTCACCGGGGCGCGCCAGGGGCTTCAGTTGAAGGGCGGCTGGTCGCCCTGCGTGTCATACAATGTGAACCTGCTCTGGTGATGGTGGTGATGCATCCACTCTAGCGGATGGCCTTCGTCTGTGTACCCGCCCTGTCTGTCCTCGTGTGACCGCCCCCTGACATATGGCGCTGACCCCGGCGCTCTAGCAACGTCCCGACCCTGTGTCTAAGCCTGACAGCAACGCGTCCGTCATGTCTCGGGGTGTCAGTGTCTGTCACAGTGTCCTACCCCGTCTGCGTGGGCGTGACGGGACCCCGACCCGGCCTCAGTCTGTGTGCTGACCTCGCGCGTCTCCTGGTGGCCAGGTGTCCACCAGCCGCCAGTGCGACATCCAGACGCTGGTGAGGCAGGCGGCCGACTCGGCTGTCATCCGTGAGGTGCCCAAGATCTCGCGCGTCTTCCTCCTCGACGACAAGGACGGCCTGCGCCTCCACACGGAGGGCATCAACATGCCCGTGAGTGGGCTGGTGTCTCCGGCCCGCGGCCACTCGCTCGCCTCTCAGTGGAGCTCTCTGCCCAGATGAGACTGGCTGGGAACCGCTGCGCGATGGACGACCTGGTGTGTCGGCGCGCACTAAGGCATGATACTGCGGACGTGACTGAACTGTCTGTGACCCAGCTCGCCCCATGCGTTTGTTCTCCGACGCTCCCCCCAGCGACAGAGCTAGGAACTGTCGTCAGCAGGAGATATCATCCCCGGCTGCTGTCATTGCGGTCGCGTTGACACGTTGTAGTCTGTGGCGCGGCCCCGGCCCCGGTCGGCCGCCCTGCGACGCTGACGCGCACCCGCTGCCGCCGACAGTACATGGCTCGCTTCTCCGACCTGCTCGACCTCAACAAGATGTGCTGCAACGACGTGCACAGCATGGCCAACGCGTACGGCATCGAGGCGGCCGCCAGAGCCATCGTCAAGGTGCGCGGTTCGAGCAGGAGTCGCTGCCCACTGAGGCGGACGACAAGGGAGCTGGACCTGGGCAGAGGGATGTTACATAGTTTTAGTTATTTTTGTTCACGGTGTGTGACGCTGCAATAAAGCTCCGTAAGTTTTTCCGCCAGTGGATCTGCGAGTGAGCTCATTGCTGGTGCATGACACTGGTAGTTGCCTGGTGATTTTTGTCCGCTGTTTTAGAACGACTGCGGTGGAAATGCTGCGGTGTATCGCGGATTAATCAAGTTGTGATGCGCCTCCGCGCTGTAAGACGCCTACTGCAGAGCCGTAGAATGGCCCCTGATTTGGCCACTCCGTTAACACTGCTGGGGCGTGATCTGACTGTCGCCGTCCGCTCGTCCCGGCGGCAGGCTGTAGCCGCTCATTTTAGACCTGTGCCGTGGTGTGTACGGCGCCTTCTCCCGTCTGCCGCAGCTCGGCCGTGTTTATGCCGCTCCGTCACGCCGCTGCTGTCTGCCGCAGCTCGGCCGTGTTTGTGTCGGTCTCTCACGCCGCTGCTGTCCGCCGAAGCTCGGCCGTATTTGTGTCTCTCTCACGCCGCTGCTGTCTGCCGCAGCTCGGCCGTGTTTGTTTCGCTCTGTCACGCCGCTGCTGTCTGCCGCAGCTCGGTCGTGTTTGTGCCGCTCCGTCACGCCGCTGCTGTCTGCCGCAGCTCGGCCGTGTTTGTTTCGCTCTTTCACGCCGCTGCTGTCTGCCGCAGCTCGGTCGTGTTTGTGCCGCTCCGTCACGCCGCTGCTGTCTGCCGCAGCTCGGCCGTGTTTGTTTCGCTCTTTCACGCCGCTGCTGTCTGCCGCAGCTCGGCCGTGTTTGTGCCGCTCCGTCACGCCGCTACTGTCTGCCGCAGCTCGGCCGTGTTTATGCCGCTTCGTCACGCCGCTGCTGTCTGCCGCAGCTCGGCCGTGTTTATTTCGCTCTTTCACGCCGCTGCTGTCTGCTGCAGCTCGGCCGTGTTTGTGCCGCTCCGTCACGCCGCTGCTGTCTGCCGCAGCTCGGCCGTGTTTATTTCGCTCTTTCACGCCGCTGCTGTCTGCTGCAGCTCGGTCGTGTTTGTTTCGCTCCGTCACGCCGATGCTGTCTGCCGCAGCTCGGCCGTATTTGTGTCTCTCACGCCGCTGCTGTCCGCCGCAGGAGATCACGTCCGTGTTCGCGGTGTACCGCTTCGTCACACCGCTGCTGTCTGCCGCAGCTCAGTCGTGTTTGTGTGGGTCTCTCACGCCGCTGCTGTCTGCGGCAGCTCGTCTGTGTTTGTGCCGCTCCGTCACGCCGCTGCTGTCTGCCGCAGCTCGGTCGTGTTTGTGTCGGTCTCTCACGCCGCTGCTGTCCGCCGCAGGAGATCACGTCCGTGTTCGAGGTGTACGGCATCCACGTGAGTCCGCGCCACCTCAGCCTCATCGCCGACTACATGACGTTCAGTGGCGCCGTCTGCGGCTTCAACCGGTCGGCCATGGACTCGGTCGTGTCGCCGCTGCAGCAGATGAGCTTCGAGACCACCGTTCGCTTCCTGCGCACGGCCGTGCTCGCAGGTGGGCGCCCGGCCGCCGGCGACGGGGGACGGTCGGCGCGCCGACGGGTGGCGAGGCGCCGCGCCAGCGCCGCGCCTCGCCTGGTGCCTGGTGGTGCCCGCCGGTGGTGGTGAAGCTCTCAGAGTCCCGGGAGGGGGTCTGAGTCCGGGCCCAAGGCCCCGGCGTGCTGCTGGTGTGGGCCGGACGTCATATGGATTAGGACGTCAACGTGGCATGTCCAAATGTTGCATTCCTTACACGAGCCCGTATGCTGTGGTCCTCTGTCTGTATGTCTGTATATATGTATGTATGTATGTTGTGTTCCTTACATGTCCTTATGTTGTGTTCCTCTCATGTTCGTGTGCTGCGTTCCTCACATGTGCCCCAGTATGCTGTGTTGTGTCTCGTCACCCAGGATGCGCCATCCCCATCACTCCCGCGTCACACGTGTTGACATCCACGTTGCACCATTACACCAGTCTGCGCTCCGTGGCGTGCCGCGCATACCGGCCTGTATTCGAAGCCGCTCCACACCCAGTTCACACCGCCCGGCGGCGTCCGCAGGTCAGGTGGACGAGCTGAAGTCGCCCTCGGCGCGGCTGGTGCTGGGTCAGCCGTTCGGCGGCGGCACCGGCATGTTCAGCCTCGTCAACCAGATGATGGCGGACTACGGGTTGTAGCGGAGGTCGGCCGATGGCGGTCGGCGCCGCATGTGACCGCGGGGATTGTTACGGTGCCGCGCGTGGACGCTTGGTTACGCATTGGCGAATACAGCACCTGTTTGTGATAAGTTGCTTTGCTTGCGGCCGTGCGGAGAGCTGTGACGAAGACGGGCTGAACGCGCCAGTGAGCCGTAACATGAACAGCTTGTGACAGGAGCGAGGTGTGGATGATGGTATCAGGCAGCGCCAGGTGAAGATCAAATATCAATACATCGATATCAGAAGGCAGCCGTTCCCTGTTTGCTCCTGTTCCTCCCGACACCACGAGGTGGAGCGAGCGCGGGCATCACGAGCAGCACGCCGAACATTCTGCCAATGTCTGGTACAGGCCATCTGTCTTGGCCTGAATTACACCTACGTTGAGCTACGCAGATTCAAGCAGAAAAGTTGGCAGCTGCCAAATAATACCGGGGTTGTCAGCACACGCGCACAAACTTCTGTTGCTCATGTTTCTCTTCGCGATCCTCGGTCAAACGATCGCCATGGTATTGTCTCGGCTCCGCCGATTACTTTAAATCTTTATATTTCGACGTCACATTTTGTGGCTGGAAAATGACGACCTCCTTCTGTGAGTATTTCTGCCCAGTTAATGTTTTGAAACCACAGAATCCGGCACAATTACACTGCCACATATGCCAAAAATGGAGGCATAATCTGTATTGATCGTAAAAATGACAAGTACAAACCAACATACGGCTACGGCCTGGGTAACATTGATATGAGTTTGTTTTATAATCGATTAATAATCGAATTGTAAAACACTTTGACAATGGCGATATTTGATAGGCAAGTCGTGACAATAAATATCGGACAATCATATGATCAAGGTACAGGAAGGAGAGGCAATAAGTGGGTAAATCTACAGACTGACTGCCACGGCGCAGGCTACAAATGTTCGCGTATTACGCAGCCATGATGTAGACAAGGTGCTTATGGGTAACAGACCCTCTTTGAAACTGTTCGTATTTATAAGTGTTGTTCCGTACACTCATGAATGCAGTCCCAAACTCCAAGAAATACTTCAAAGAAAAGCCCCGACAGTCACTACACTGGCACGGGATATAGCAAGGAAATATACGCACGCAAGCGTGTATATGTAAACGCGCTACGAAATGCCGTGAACTTTGCGGTTTCTTTATTGCATTCCTTGGAGTTTGAGGATGCGAATGCAGTCAAGAGTGTATGATTTAATGAAGGCAGGATACTGCAAGTACAAGACCAGACCAGACTACACCAGGGTTAAACCGGGAACTGGGTAGGGCTTCTGGGCTTCTGCAAAATATCCTTGAGGTGCAGTGCGCTACAATGCAAGATCGCACGCAAAGGGGCGGCGGGGCGGGCGCACATCGATGCATCATAGCGCATGCGCATAATGCCCAGGCTCTGAGCACGACTCAGTGCTTCCGCACAGCTCCCTGACAGCTTCTTCATTACATTGACAGCTTAGCTGAGCTGAGAGTGCGCCGTCCGTTATGAGCTGAACGGCGGCGGCATCTTCCCAGGAGTGTCCTGGTGGCTACTCCGGCAGCGGCGCGCCCTCAGGCGGTTGTACGTCAGCTGGTGGCCGCCGCGCGCCAGCTGGCTCATGTTCAGCACGCTGACGCGCGGCGCGCCGCCTGGCGACGGTGGCGCCACCGCAGATGGCTCCCCGAGGTCGCCGAGCGCGACCAGTGAGCGCGGCCGGCTGCCAAAGAAGCCGGCGCCGCGTGGCCGGCGGAGGCCTGGCGGGGCCGGACCGGGGCCGGCACCACGGCCGCGGCCCGGCAGCGCGGCGGTGGCGGCGCGCCGCTGCCGCCGCCGCAGGCGCTCCAGCCGCCGGAAGTCGACGCTCTTGAAGGCCAGCCGACGCACGGGCTGCCGCCCCGCGGCGCTGGCCTCCTCCAGCGAGGGCACCACGCCCGGCTCGCTGCCGCTCTCGGCCGACTCGGGCCCGCTCATGTAGGAGCGGACGGGTCCGGCGGCGGTGAAGCCGACGACGGGCGGCGGCCGGCCGCGGCCACGCACCCGCACACTGAGCGCCGGCGTCCGCGGCGACTCGGTGCGCGACGACGAGGTGGCCGAGTCGGTCAGTCGGTACCGCTCGAGCTCGGCGTCGGTGCTGGTTGCCGGCGCTGGCGCCGGGGCCGCCGCCGCCGCCGCCGCCGCCACCGCTGCCACCGCCGACCGCGCCCGGGTCGGCTGGTCCGCTGATCTGTAGGCAGCGGACGGCTTGTCCAGCGCGCCGCACGGGGAAGGCACAGGTGGAGAGCTATCAGACGCTTAGGTTACCGGTGATGCGGCCAAATAATTGCCCCGTTCCCTGTTTCAAACCCAGTTGGTTCTATTTACGACACAGGATCATGAGTACTACGCACTGAACAGGATGTAACCTTTATTTTCGATAAGTCTGTAATTGAGACAGGTGTGCGGTGAGCAAGGCCGCCGGCGGAGTAAGAACATGCCATGTCGGAAATGATCGAAGAATACATGTGTATTCTTCCCCCCGCTCTCATGTACTGCGAGAAATCTCCCGGATTGTAAGTGGGTTTCAAAGAAAGTATGTTGAACTTCGCAATTAGGTGCTGCTGAGCGGTGTTGCTGTAACGCAAGGCTATGGTTACCCGCCTCTGGCTCTGGTTACCCACGTTACTCACCTCTGGTTGCGCGGGGGCCTCTCTGTCGTGGTGGACGGGGCCTGAGGCCCTCGGCCGGTCGACGGTATTACCTGCATCGCCTTGAAGTAGTCGAACAGGGCCCGGCCGAGGTCCCTGCCCAGCCGCATGTCTGCCCGCTGGTCAAGGACGACTGCGCACGACTGACGTCGGGACTACACTGCTCTCACTCAGCAGCCATGTGTCTGTGTACGTGTGTTTGCGTCATGCTCATCAAACGCTTAGTAATACAGCCGAGCTCCTCGCTCTTTCTCGGCGTCGCATGGCCTGTGGTTTGGATTAATTCACAGTCTGTAAAATGTAGTGTATTTACAAAATCTCTCTTTAGGAATTGCAAATTATGATACGGTCACCCGCACAAGCAAACTAAATTAGTGGGACCTTTCTCTTACAGATGACCCTGTGTAGTAGCTATAGACTTTTAGACAAAGAGTAACCTCTAACTTGTGACTTGCTTATGCCTTGCGCTCGGGTGGGATCAAGTATGAACCTCAGACCGAGGTCAAAACTAACCTGCTTTTTTACTCGGAAGCTTACTTTAAATGGCAGTTTCTGCTGCTTATTTGAAATTGATTAATAACAAGAACTACAGCAGACATGATTCATGGACTTCTTAAAGATCAGAGTAGGGACACTGACCTAAAATAACCCATGGGACCAATGACCAAATGTTCGGATTAAGTGTCCTTGGGCCAAAATTGGCAATATAACACATTTCCAGCATAATCAGAACTCGTCGCTACGTAAATCGCTAACTTCACGGGCATGCTCCGATGCTCACTATGCCCACTTTGCCGTGACCCTCCGGGCAGAATGTCAGCCGACGCCGGCGTAGACCTGTTCGACGGCACGCCACTGCACTGGTGAGACCACTCCAGCCAGCCACCGGACCGGTAGTCTGTGCACCTCTGAAGGATACAGGCCTCCTCCGTGTAGGAGATCAGCCCCTCGCCGTGGCGGTCAATGTAGCCGTGCATGGAGACCTGCAGCGAGTACGTGTTGACCGAGTCGCTGAGCTGCGAGCAGAGGAGCCTGCGGCCGGGTCCGACGTCAGTGGGCTAATCAGCAACACGGGGATGGCCTTGCAGTCATTGAAAAGACAAAGTCATAATGCTGAGATTAATCAATGATGCAGCTGTGCCGTTTGGGGAGCTGCAGTATAAGGCCAGCAGCTTTTATTCTGCATGCACCGGACAACATAGACGGGTTGCAATGCTGGGAGACCTCAGTTATGCACGCCGTATTATTAGCAGGTCTGCTTATTATGTTTTGTTCCTTTTTTGTCTAATTGACCTAATCATAATCGGGCCTGATTATTGTCATGTAAAACAAGGCCTCATTATAGGCAGGTCTTATCCGATCAGTCCGTCTGACTTGATCACGGCTAAACCCAAAACTGAGAGCGGAAGCTTTTGTTCCCGCCCGTCATCAACATATAGAGTACGACTGGCATCCGTTGATTCACCCGGTGTTCCTGCTTGGCTGGCGGTTACAGACCTACGAGCAGTGCCCAGCTTCAGTGGATCTCGGTTGTAGATGGTATTGATGGGACTGAAATCCTCAGCGTTCTGGCTCAGCAGCTTTGGGAACACAATGTGTCTTTCGTACCTGTTGGGATGACCGTCGAGACATTAACAAAATATCTAGTCCTTAACATAGGTGACATCAGCGGTTCTCCAGAAAAAAGTAAAGTATCACAATGAAAAACATCCGACCTGATGATTTTATGTTCAAAAGACGGCATGGTCGTTTACCTGACCACCCAGTATGTCTATTACCAAGGATAATTCAGTTATCGGTCATGCCTTTCCATGGAACTCGTTGGACAGCGACGCCTCTTCGTCAGTGCGACACCAGTGCACGTCTCTATGGTGTCGACGCACCAGGCTCGCTCACCGGTATACATCCTCATAGGTGGTGCCGTACACGAAGCATCCGAACAGACTGGCATGGGCGTGCAGGTCGAGCACGATCTCCAGCCCGTTGCTCTGCCGGCGCAGGCGCAGCGCAGTCAGACCTCGTCTGAATCAAGGCCCAGTCCACAGGGCGCTGGTGCTGACACAGACGAGAGCCGGGGAAGCGACCGGAGAACGAGCAAACAAACGCCGAAGATCTACCGACCTTGTCTGCATCGAGCGAGAGCAGCAGCTTCTTGGCAGCGTCGATGGTTGGATGTCCCCACTGCGAGGGCTCTTGCCAGGTGCGATTCAGATCAGCACCGAGCACAGAGCACCTGCAGTCAGCGGAACTCAGATCAGCGCCGAGCACCTGCAGTCAGTGGAACTCAGGTCAGCTCTGACCAGCAGCAGCCAAAAAGATTTACACCATCGCACCAGAGTACTTCTTGAATTGGCCATCGCCTGGGTAAATATATACCCTTACTTAGCGCTGGCTGTACCCACGATTTTCTTCGCTGCATTATACACACGGCAACTACGTCCAGCACAGGCTGCGTGCTGTTAGTCTCGTGTATGACATCACTGTTTACTAGAGTAAGTCATTTGGATGTGGCTGAAGTTATTACATTTGATTCCAAATTACAGAAATTAAAATGTGATTGATTTTCACATCAGGGTTGGAAATTGATAGCTACAGAAATATGATAACTGTTCCGTTTCCACGTCGTAGCCTGCGGTTTGGGCACTGGAAAAGCGTTCAACAAATCTTACCTGTGGTTTCCTAGAAATACTCCATCAGGATTCAGCATTGGAATTATTTTGATGACTACATACTTTCTCAGCTCAGTGGCAACAGGATGGTCGCCAACCAGCAAATCAATTAGTCCTGCAAGGCAAATATGCTCAGTTATTGCTGGTTGATCAGTAGCATCCCTGCTTCACCGCCAGCCATTGACGGCCTATCGGTGGGAGGAGGGTCATCGTTACCAGATCTAACATTGCATCATGAAGGGCAACATTTTTCGCAGGTGGCGTCTGGTAACTACCACCAGAACACTAACCTGCACTATTAAGGAGGATGGTGTCTCTTGTGGAAGGCACCTAGCCATCACCACCAAAGCAGTACTGTGTACTATAAAGGAGGACAATGCTTTTCCTGTTTGACACCTAGCCATCACCATTGCAACATTACCCTGCACTATGAAGGAGGACGATGCTTTTCCCTGTTGACACCTAGCCATCACCATTACAACATTGCCCTGCACTATGAAGGAGGACGATGCTTTTCCGGGATGATACTCAGTTATTACCGCCACAACATTACCGTGTACTATGAAAGGGGACGGCGTCTCTCGGTTGGCATCTGGTCATTACCGAAACAACATTACTCTACACTATGAAGGAAGACGATGTTTTTCTGGGTTGATACCTAGCCATTACTGACACAACATTACCCTGCACTATGAAAGAGGACGGTGTCTCTCCCGGTTGGCATTTGGTCGTTACTGTCACAATATTACCCTGCACTATGAAGGAGGACGGTGTCTCTCCTGGTTGGCATCTGGTCGTTACTGTCACAATATTACCCTGTACTATGAAGGAGGACGGTGTCTCTCCCGGTTGGCATCTGGTCGTTACTGTCACAATATTACCCTGTACTATGAAAGAGGACGGTGTCTCTCCCGGTTGGCATTTGGTCGTTACTGTCACAACATTACCCTGTACTATGAAGGAGGACGGTGTCTCTCCTGGTTGGCATCTGGTCGTTACTGTCACAATATTACCCTGTACTATGAAGGAGGACGGTGTCTCTCCCGGTTGGCATCTGGTCGTTACTGTCACAATATTACCCTGTACTATGAAAGAGGACGGTGTCTCTCCCGGTTGGCATTTGGTCGTTACTGTCACAACATTACCCTGTACTATGAAGGAGGACGGTGTCTCTCCCGGTTGGCATTTGGTCGTTACTGTCACAACATTACCCTGTACTATGAAAGAGGACGGTGTCTCTCCCGGTTGGCATCTGGTCGTTACTGTCACAATATTACCCTGTACTATGAAGGAGGACGGTGTCTCTCCCGGTTGGCATCTGGTCGTTACTGTCACAATATTACCCTGCACTATGAAAGAGGACGGTGTCTCTCCTGGTTGGCATCTGGTCGTTACTGTCACAATATTACCCTGTACTATGAAGGAGGACGGTGTCTCTCCCGGTTGGCATCTGGTCGTTACTGTCACAATATTACCCTGCACTATGAAAGAGGACGGTGTCTCTCCTGGTTGGCATCTGGTCGTTACTGTCACAATATTACCCTGTACTATGAAGGAGGACGGTGTCTCTCCCGGTTGGCATCTGGTCGTTACTGTCACAACATTACCCTGTACTATGAAGGAGGACGGTGTCTCTCCCGGTTGGCATTTGGTCGTTACTGTCACAATATTACCCTGTACTATGAAGGAGGACGGTGTCTCTCCCGGTTGGCATCTGGTCGTTACTGTCACAATATTACCCTGCACTATGAAGGAGGACGGCGTCTCTCCCGGTTGGCATTTGGTCGTTACCGCCACAATATTACCCTGTACTATGAAAGAGGACGGTGTCTCTCCCGGTTGGCATCTGCTCATTACCGCCACAACATTACCCTGTACTATGAAGGAGGACGGCGTCTCTCCCGGGTGACACCTAGCCATCACCACCACCGTCTTGGTAGGTTTCGAAGCTCCCGGTGGTGTGGTATGCCCCAGTGTCAGGATGTCGCAGAGACGCTCTTGCTGTAAAGGAAATTTATGTCACGCTAGTGCGCAACGAAAGGTTGCTTGACTACCATGAGCGTTCTCATATCAGATTAACAACAGCGAGCATGCACCGTGATTGGAATGTCAATCGATATATAAATATATATATATATATATATATATATATATATATATATTTACGGAGTACTTATGCATAGTATTAAGCGGCTGCATCAGTGTTAGTGTGGTCATAACCACTCACAATACATTTTTATAGTTAGTCGGTCATCTAAAATCTGAGGATGTTCAGGGAATGCACAGCGGATATTTTAAGCTGAAAGCAGGGCAGGCGATAAACAGGCTTGAGGAGTAGTCAACATTACGAATCGACGAACGGTGACGTGGCCGAGGAATGAAGGAGCATATGACAACCGAAAGAGGAACAAAACACGCCCCGGACCGTGACTGATGACGGAATGCACAAGTTTGCTTCTAAACGCTTTTGCCTTTTTATAGTTCTACACATCTGATCATTCGTCTGGTGCACGTGCATTGCACGTGTAGAAATAAACCCTGGAAATATTACGGCACAATTTATAAAACACTGTACTATTTGTTTGGGGGAATGCACAGCAGCATGACTGGTGGTTGTAATGGCACAAACCCGTCAACGGTGTGGCTGGTGCGCAGGGCTGGGTCGCTAAAGCTACACAATGCGTGGTTACCCTCGGCCTCTCCACCAGCCCCGCCCATATGTATTTACTGAATGACGCCTCGGAGCACAAAGCTGTGGGAGCACGTTCGCAATAGCCGTCTGACGGCTGCTTCTCACCACAGTGTTTGCCAGGAGCTCCCTGCGGACGTGCGACAACTTAAGCCCCTCCACCTCGGCCAGGTACATCTGCAGGCGCGAATACGAGTAGGGGAAGCAGATGCTGAACTGGTACACGTCCTCCTCCCGGTCGAACGCGAAGGCGAACGACAGGATGAAGTTGCTCCTGTGCTCCGGGGAGCGGTGGTAGTAGACGTGCTTCTTAGACATCCGCTGCCTGCCGGACAGGCAACACTGTCACATGTGGCGACCATGTGACGTGTAGCAGAGCTACAGAGCTCTCAAGCTACAAACCTACAAAATTCGCAAGCACGGGGTTGTCGGCGTCGCAGAGCGTGACGGACAGAGCACCGCCAAGCCCCATGGCATCATGGCAAACAACGTGACAGGTCGTGGAGTTATCGAGGTTGTTATCATGAGGAATCGGCGCGTGCTGTGACGCGGCTCCATTCATCAGCAGCCTGGTACTGAGCTACGGGGCTGGGTGTTGACATGAATACAGAACTTTCTAAAAGGCCCCTGGATGCAGGAGGGTTAATGACGACTGACGACAGTGATTACCAGGCTTTCCAAATGACGCTAGAAACCGGCAGAACGCTTCGCATGACGTGCGACGGGCCCGGTGCGTCGCACGAGCAGCTCCGATCGCATACACGTGTGTCTTGGTGTTAAGCGCACTCGTTAATCGCATGGCGTGCGACGAACCCGGTTTGTCACATGCGCAGCTCCGATCGCATACACGTGTGTCTTGGTGTTAAGCGCACTCGTTAAGCTAGGGGGGGGGAGGGTCGTTCACACCACTGCACTGAAATGCGTCTGCTATTCATCACAGCCTAACTGGTTTCACGCAAAGACCTTGGATCGTTGAGGGTCTTTAATCATTGGCAAGGATTCCATACAGGTGCACTATTTTTCGGAGGATACTGTGAATTTAGTGTTCGGTGGGCAGCATGCATACCAATCTGCACCACGCTTGACGGACTTTGCTGACGACGATGTGAAGTACCTTCAGAGCTTATCTATGCTATTATTGTGGCTACTATTGCAAAAAAATGTTGGGCACGAGACGGCGTCAACGGTGACACAAAGTTGACTTTTCCTTCATGTGCTGTGCCTCAGCAGCTGAATTAGATGAGATGTGCCCGGATTGGAGAGGGGGGGGGGGACAACGCCCTTTCAGCTGGATAAATCACCCCCTGCACGCCCATTCTTACCGTCCCGTGCAACAGTCGGCGTAATGTACTGTGGCCTCAACTGACTAGAGAATCTACATTATGACAAAATGATAAAATACTGATGATCGTTAGAAGTTTGCCCAGTGATTATGCTCCTTTCCATAGATTAATATTCAGGCTACTAATCCAGCTACCACGATCAACGTCCCATTGCTTATGATTCGTTGTCTTACCATTTGTTTCTGGAAGTCGATTTAACTAAAGGTGTCATTCCATCACGGAACAGATTCTTCGTCTTGCTGAAGTTCACGATGTTGAAGATAACTCTCTGAAAGTATGCGGGTATCTTCGGCAAAGATCGCACTTTTGACAGCTGGTTTTTGAGAATCAGGTCTTCAGGGACAGGCATGCCTCCCGTCTATCAATTATGTGACTATCGCAAATTGTCACAGCAGCTGACTCACCATATTTTTGACCAGTCAAATAAAGCAACATTTAGCCTGTCTTTACTACTGATAATGGTACCAACCAATGCTTCGTGGGTTTGTTTGAATGCCCACAACAATACAATACTTCTACTACAATTCAAAACCGACAGTTCCGTAATCACCCATGAAAAATGCGAGTAATACGGCGTTTTCAACGTGTGTCGCTTCGTCCGCCGTTTTCTTGACAGTCCTCCATCCTTACGTTACCTACCTGATCCTGCCGCACATTGTCCACCACGAAGTTGAACCAGATGCGGTAGCGAGGATTGCACACATCTGGCCGTATGAAGAGGTCGTATTCGTACTCACTGATGTAGTCCACGCGACCCAAGTTCCCTGGTGGAGCGGGTAAATGTGCCAGCCTGCTTACATATATATCCCAGGAAAAGAACATCGAGGAAAGACGGCGGGCTGCTCAGGCTCAGGTGATTACTGGGAATACCGCATGGCATGCCGCTCGGTTCTCACATACGAGTAATGACAGCCATCTGTCTGACCTGTGCATGCATAAACAAACAAAAGTGAGAACAAGACTCGACACACTCAACACTGGTCGATTCACCCCACGCGTACCCATTTACTCCTTATGCACGTGGCAGGCCCTATTTTGCCCTGACGGCTACAAGATGCCCTTCGTACCACTGACGGCTGCAGTTGCAGTCTCACCGCCATCCGTTCCATGTCTGACGGTGGGGCGTGTTTCTCAGCTGCGCAGAGCACCGCCCGCTGTTCCCACACCCCACCTGCCAGCGCCGAGCGGAAACTAAACCGGTGGCAAGCGTCGGTCTGTGCGACAGTGTCGCGCGTCACGTGTCTGCGCCAAGCGTCGGCCTGTGCGACAGTGTCGCGCGTCACGTGTCTGCGCCAAGCGCCGGCCTGTGCGACAGTGTCGCGCGTCACGTGTCTGGGTCAAGCGTCTGTCCGCGAGGAAGTGTCACGCGTCGCGTGTCTGGGTCAAGCGTCTGCCCGCGAGAAAGTGTCGCGCGTCACGTGTCTGCGTCAAGCGTCTGTCCGCGAGGAAGTGTCGCGCGTCACGTGTATGCCGACTGCGCTGACCTGTTTCAAACGAGGCGTCGAAGCAGAGGTGACCGCGCTTGGCCTTGCCGGAGTGGCCGGGTGGTCTCATGACTGCCCTGTTGACATTCCCCAGGCCGCCCTCATTGTCGCTGTCGTCCGAGTCTGTAGCAAAGACAACGCATGGAACACAGCCTACCACTGAGTCACGTCAAGGAGTAAAAGACATCAAAGCGCACGGCCAGAAGGCTGGCAGCGTCCCTCGTACGTAGATAACAATCCCGAACGGTGGCTGACGTATCCGACAGCTTCATAGGGAGCTTAATCTAACCTACTGTAAATCAGCTGATTTTGCGTGTCTTCCCTCATCCCGGCATCGTAAACACCCGCCTGTGTGGAGCTTTCTCGAGGGATAGTCTTCGTAGCTGTTGGCATCAAACTGGTTCCTTGTTCGAAATCCACAGTGCATATATGTTGTGGTTTATCATTGTGTGCAGAATTTCGCCTGGCTTAACGACGATGGCATTACCGAGGTGTCCATGGTGGCACCTGACTGCAGTGATTCCTCGAATGGTCTCGTAATATGCACTAATGACTGCTTGGTATGGTCTATTACCAGTACCTCTCGGAACATTGAAGGTCGGTTATTTTCGGCATGATAACTCGTAAGAAACACTGTGTAACTTGATTTTGAGCTATGCTAATTGTGCCAAGGAAGTAATGATTGGACTATATGATGTGTATTGAACCGAAAGGTAACTTAACGTGAAACTGGGGCTAGGTAAAGATTCGTCTTGGCTTCCAAGGTCGAATTAAAGCATCTTTATTTTACGCAAAACGTCTTAACCACGCAGATACCAACATCAAGTCCCATTGCAATCTCAGTTGGGAGCGGGCTTGATACGAGGATCACTTTTGAATTTGAATCATACATGGCCAGAGCTTATTCGACAAACGACCCCATAGAGGTTTTAATATATGCAAGACGTTCAAGAATCTTAAAATGAGTGAAGGCATATTCGGGGAAGAGCGTAAAAGCATCAAAACGCAAAAAATGAGTTAAAATATAATACGTCACGATGGAATAGCACTCTGGCAGTTAAACCAAATGCAGTTATTTCTAGTATCCAACCTCACCGGAATGAAAATGTTGCGCACGAAATTCTGAAAATGTTTGGTGACAAAAAACGTCGGTCTTTGGTGCGTACACATTAATTGCAATGAAATAAGGCCCAGGTATAATTCATCTGTATACTTAGCAAGTTATACATTTATGAGGTGCCGAGCGAACTTGAGAGGCTAATGAAACAGGCCGTGTATTATTATCGTGTGCAGTGTGTCACGCGTTCGCCCTGGTAATAGTCACATTCGAAGGGGCCTCGACGTGCTTGGTAATTAAGGTCTATTAGGGTCAATAAGGCATGCATGAGCATATTCACATCATCATGACGTTCGTATCCATGATCAATACAGCACAGACGTTGTGTGCGGTGGGCTTTTTTTTAGAAAACAAACATTATTTCCAATCAAAGGGAACCTCTCCGTCGCCTGTGCCAATCATCGAGTATGCACTGCGATGGGCGTGTGACTTAATTGCCGTATTGTTTACGAACACGAGACCCTTTCAGCTGTAATGTCTGTAAATACCTGGCATGACGGCTGGGCTACAGCGGCAGCTGGCTTAAATCACACGCCAAAAGGTTCTAAGCTTCCGAGATCCCAGCTGCAACAAACTTCGCTCAAATACAGGAGCTTCACCACCATGACGGCCACTGGGTGGTATACCCGTCGACTGACCACGGGCCCGCACTCGCCGGCTGGAGCCAAAGCGTGCGGCGAGAGAGGCGGCAGACTCGGGGGCAGCGCTGTGGCTGCAGCTGGCGCGCACGCCGTCGCCAGTAGGTACCCACTGGAGTGGCTGGTGCGGCCCGGTACCAACCCCATCCCGCCTCCGCCCTCCCCACAGCGGCGGCGCGGCGGCAGGCCATGTCAGGCGGGGAACGGGGGGGGGGGGGGGGGAGCGGCGCGTGCCGCAGGCGAGGCATCGGTTCTCGCGGGGTCGAACGCGACGGCGCCATCCTTCTAATCGCCCATTGCCCGGGGCGCTGGTCGATCGGCATAATCGGCGCGGCACGTGCTGGTGGCGACGACTCGCCACCCGGCCGGCTGCCGACGCCCCCCCCCCGCGCTGCACCGGCTCGACAGCGCAGTGTAGCTGCTGAGGCCTACAGCACACACTGATTCCAGCGGCAAACTGGTCGACCGTCGAGGTCCAATGCACATCGCGACTGGTCGCCGAGCCAGTCGGCTACCGGCTGCAGCGCGTCGCAACGAGCTCGACGAACCAACCCCGGCTGCCATTGTCAAAAACGTATGTCGTGACAGTTCGACTACAACTCAACACTTCCCTCAACCCGCCAAAGGAACGTGGAGATAACGTAAGTCCATTAGTTACGCACATATGTCAGATGTTTTGATTGCGACGCCGCTCGGCAGGATTTGGTAGGGGAGGAGGGGGGGGGGGGCATCCAAATCGTCTGCCATTTAAATGCAATTTTTGTTTATTTTGATCTCTTGTCTGTCTTTTATTTTCCCTTTGTCCTGATTTTTTCTACAAAACGTTTCAGTTTTTCTGTATGATTTCCATTGTAATTAACACCACCTGACGGAGCGAATGTGTTGGTAATGTCGTTGATGCCGGGATGATACAAAAGTGACAAGGCATGTCGCCTCTAAAGTGTCAATGCTGCATTGTTTTTTTGTTTGCTTTTTTTAGATGCCTGACTTTTTTGTTTTGTTTTGAGCTTTATTCTGAAACTAGCTCCAACCACTTTGTTTCAAGTACTTTGACTAAACGTCATGGCTGCTTATTTACATAATAAAAGTTGGCATGAAGCATGTATCTTCACAAATAAGGAGCGTTTCCTATTCTCAAAACTAATTGAGGTAGGTAAAAGTCCCCGCCTTTAAAGGAAGTATTCTACATTTGTTTGGGGTTTTGAATTGAAATAGTTTTTTGAAGACCATTCGGTGCAGTTCACAGCCTTGTCCTTCTTAAGGCCTAAAGCTCACTAGTTTCTTGCTGCACGCCCCCAAAGAGGTGCAGACTTTTTCGTGCAGACTATGTCAAGGCAATTAGGGCAAGTACGACGCCTTAGGAGTGGCATTCAAAACCCGCCACCCTATAGGCTATGCGGCGTTTAAGGTCAAGAATAATTTTTTCGTCGAGCCGTCCAGATCTGCACAATTTCCAAATAAAGTGGACGCCAAATGGCTTTCAGTCAATGTTAAACATGCTGTGCAAGTTTTAACCACAATTGGCTGTTTGGATGTTTGGATTAGAGTCCTTTCGACCGGAACTGATCATTTCAGGGCTATGGGATGAAGGAGACTGATAACGGTGGGGTAGGAATACATGCGTTCGGGGGACCAGTCGCCGAGCTTGAACCCGCGCAGAGATCCTCGGGAGTGTGCGCTGGGCGGCCGGTCGGGGTCCCCCTCCCATTAGTGGCTGACGCACATAGTCTGCCCCAGATAAGCATGGGCGTCGCGAGGATGCAGAATGAAGCAAGAAAGAGGATAAGAGGATCTGATCTTCAATCACGAATCACGTTTTGCGCTACTTGTTAAAAGAAGTTTTACCTGATTGCTATTCTTTGCAAAAATATGACCTGTAATTAAATAACTTGACAACAGCCAATAGAATAAGAACAAATAGAACGCCAACCGAGCATGTCCATACAAGTAAGCATCTTAGACTCAGCAATAGCTATGCAAGAACACCATGAGAAAGAGCCAAAGCACGAGAACACAACGATATTTGGCTCAGCGAACACTTCCAGCACCGACACTGCCATCTCTCGGCGAGTTGAGGTACTTTACGTGAGTGCATGGGTGACATTTTCGTCCGATTCCAGTTGAAGCTCATGCAGATCAATGCCGGAATTAACTCCGCAGGAGTTCAGACTCTGTTCAGAGCGTTTGAGAGTATAATACACACTATGTCTTGCACGATGAGCCTATCTGTCTTATATATTTCAATACTGAAACGCAATACATGGGTTATTGTCTCAGTGGTCGCTCATATAAATTCTGAGAATGAAGATCTTTGTTCTTAATATCCATGTTCGAACCGTTGTTTAGTTCCGATGGTACTTGAGATTGAGTCTAGTCAATCAGCGGATAAAATTTACCCAACTTTAGTTAAGACTTAGCCAAATGTCCCTGCGAAATCGATCACCCTTGACTCAACACGTTTCGGTGATTTCTCGGTCAACTCCGACTTCTCCCGGACGACATATCAAGTTTATCCACGTCACATGGTGACTACCCACCAAACATGTCGGCTGCTGACCCGCCCGCGCCGCGTCCTGACGGACTCGACCAGCCAGTCCTGGCCGTTGAAACACACAGTATATTGTGAGACCTGATTGATCGACCAACTAATGTACCCACAGCTGGTCGTGGCTCTTCGCCGCGGCACTGAAATGACAGCCGTCACAACACTAGCGACATTCGACCAGAAACATTTCGCTGTTTTGCTCCGTGTTTTTTTTCCATCCGAAGATGGAATATGAACCTTTTGTACGGATTAATTTATGGGATTAGAGCTCGCGATTAACCGTGCTTGCGGCGTGAGCCCTGACTCACCCAATCGTCCAATTCCAGGTAGGCATCATCTGGTAGCGAAAGTTTACCGTGCTGCAATGCCCGGCGCGGTACGGTCTGTTCTATCCTCTAATCTCCCTCGAATTTTAGCGCGATAGCTGTCACCGGCCACAGGTCATAACTGTCAAGGACAAATAAGGAACGCCTGAAGTGACTCGAATCCACCCCACCGGGTGAGGGGATCGAAAGGCAGGTCGCCTAGCCAACTGAGCTATCGGTCCGGTCAGATCTTTGCTGCAAACCGACTAATGTTGGTGAAATAACGCCGTTCTGTAACTTGAGACAATTTCAGAACACTCTTCATTCATTTTTGCTATGCTCGATTTCCGTCATCAGTGCCACGCTTTTGTGCTTGAATATCACGGATTCTTCCCCCTTTTCCGCATGCTCGGCGCGGATCCGTCACGCATGCAGCCGCATATTGGGAGCATTACAAACTGATCCGTGCTGGTGTCATCTGCAAGCCCGCTTTTCAGTCGTTTTGGTGGAAACGGCCCGCTCGTGGACTGCGTGGCAGTCAAAGCTCCGAGCTTACTAGCTTCAGATTACAGGCTACAGATGTATTAAGGTACACCTGGGTTCATAAGAGGCACTTAGTAGCATTTGCCCACTTACACTCATGAGCAGGTAAAATGTGCATGTAGAATATTCGCACATCGCAACGACAGCACGAAATCAAATCCAGTTTCGTCAAATCCAAACATGGGCTTGATGCTTAGAACGCGAACAATTCGATAACTTGGCTGGGCTGAAATGGTCTCTAGTTGCTCAGGTTTAGACAGAGGAAAACTGCGGTTGCATAGAGCAGATTCTTAACCATACGCTTTAAATCGTTTGTGATGAGAAAAAATGATAGCGCGCATAATCGTCCAAAGATATGAAACAATGTAAGGCGTAAAAATGATGTTACTGTTCCTGACATCCTTCCACTTTGCCCCTGGGCTAAAATTCCGTGTTTCAACATTCGATGACCGCTCATAAAAAGGGCTTGCATACTATGTACCTTCCATCTTGCCGTTGGCAGTGCGTATATGGGAAAAAGGTTTCCTATAATGTTCCTAAAGTTTGTATTTTGTTGACAGTATTCTACAACATGTGAAACATTCGCTTGATGTTGCAGTAAACTAGGTGACATTTTTGGCATTTCGGCATTTTGGCACGTTAGCGGTATCTGCCAGAAAGAAATTCATTCGGCAATGGTTGCTAGCCTTTCACAGTTCCACCTCGTTTTTTTGCGGTGCTCGCCTCGCCAGCTCTCAGCTCTCGCGTTGTCTGCAGACATCTGATTGGTCCGGTAGCTATGGGGAAGATGCCGCTCAAAGACACAAAACAGCACGGGGCCAGAAATGACCGCTGGGGATGCCGTCGTCCACCATCCCCTCAATAAAAAACAAGAATAGGGGGGGGGGGCATGTTTGACCCGTGGGTGATACCACCATCCACGCGCACCCATACGAAGATCCTACCCTTAACACCGATTCTCTGACGTCTGTTCTTAAGCAGGTCTAACATCCAGCCTTGCTATCTCCCTCGATTTCACAAGTTTAGAGTTGTCTTCAGAAGTGCAGCTTCACGAACGGACAGCTAGCAAAAAGATAATCGCATGAACCTGCAAGTGCCGTAGCTCCTAGACATTTCATGAAAAATCCTGTTGGTGAGAGCTAACCCCTATGGTGGATCGATGAGATCCCGGCCTCGGCCCGAGCATCGCACCGGTCCGCTCCCGATGGCTGACGGTAACACGGGTTGATCGGACCACACACAAGCCAGATACCGTGCAGCGGCCCGACCAGTGTCGGACACAAGCCTCATGTAAGCGTGCTCCGAGCGGCCTCTGTTTCAGAGCCTGCACAGCACGCTTGACACGGCGCGGTGCATGACAGCCATCCCCGGAGATAATGATAGTGTCGGACTGGACGCCCGCTGCAAGCTCCACTCGTCGCCTGTAAGGCACCACGTGGTCTCTGGCGGGTTTGTGCGTGGCGTAGATCCTGCAGAGCTTGCAATTGAAGCAGGCTGATTGGTAATACTGGCGCGCCACTTCCTACCTCTCTTAATTGAAGCGAGCTGGTTGGTAATACTGCCGCGCCACTTCCTGCCTCTCTTAATTGAAGCAGGCTGGTTGGTAATGCTGCCGCGCCACTTCCTACCTCTCTTGATTGAAGCGGGCTGGTTGGTAACACT